CAGTATGACCGGGCAGAAAAGGGTCTAGATTGCTGGGCACTGAAAGTTAAAAATATGTTATTTTCCTTTGGATATGATGAAATTTGGAATAGACAATCAGTTTCTTGTATCCATTCAATTATATCCGCTTTTAGAACAAGATGTATTGATATTGATAACCAGTGTCTCTTGGAATCTTTTGATAAATTATCTTCATTATATTTGTATAAAACAATTAAGCTATCAAATGAATATGAAAATTAGTGTTGTGAATATTGCAGCATTTAGGATTATTCTCTTACAGTTTCGCACGTCGAGCAGTGATCTTATGGTATCACAGGGTAGAAAGTTAGGTATTCCAAAGTGTGAAAGACTTTGTCCATCTTGTATCATTCCAAGTGTAGAAACAGAATGCCATGTTTGTTTAGTTTGTCCGTTTTATGACGATCTTAGAAGAAAATTTCTGCCAAGTTATTATTATACATCTCCATCAGAGCATAAATGTAAAGTTTTATTTACCACCAGTAATGCTTAAATTAATAATCTTGCCAAGTTTACATTCTTTGCTCTTAAAATGAGGAGCAAGCAGTTGTCCATTATATAAACTACTAATTCTACCACCATATGTATATGGTCTCAGATACCCTTGTACTGATTAGTATTGATATAACTACATGCACTTGTGGCGCAACATGTTTGAATGCTTGAATATATATATTGTAAAATGGGCCTGTGGCCTGATTTACTGAAATAAACCCCTACTACATCTATCCCAGTTGTGTGGCTCGACGCTCATGATGTCAGTCACTTTATTGTCTGGTCCAGACTTGTTTTTTATCAGACCGCAGTTATATAGCTGGAATATTGCTGAGTGCGGCGTTAAACAACAAACAAAGAAACAAACAAACAAGTACATATTGTGTGAAATGGGGACACGTTTTCTCAGAAGTTTGCAAGCTTATCTGAGAGATACTTGTCACGACTGAGTTCGAAGACTGGTCCGTTAATTATTTTTTCTATTGGGTTATGGCCCTTGCTCTGTGTGTTTTCAACTTCGTGCATAGTGTGTGCAATGGGGACAAGTTGTCCCAGAATTCTGAAGTTGCATGATTGAAAGTTTGCATGATTTTCTGAAAGATTCTTGTCAAGACTGAGTTCGAAAATTGGTCCTGTCAATTACTTTTTTACAGAGTTGTGGCCCTTGATCCATTGTTTTACTTGGTGCACAGTGTCTGCATTGGGACAAGTTTCTCAGAAGCTACAGAAGTAGGCTTATCTAAGAGATACTTATCAAGATTGGGTTCTTTTGTTCCAGAGAAGGGGCCTTTTTGTGGTTATTAATATCACTTTTAATCATTGACATCTGATGACATAAGGCGGCCCAGGGGCATATCTAGGACTCTTTTTTATAGTTTGTAGTCACAACTATAAGAACAAACAAAATTCTAATGTGGCCCTTGGTTGGGGATAGTGATACCGCTGTTTTCTTGTTTGTCGCACACCTTTTCCAAATATACATATTACTAGAACTAGACGTCTTCCCTTTTTTGTCAACGTCTCAGGCTCCGAGGCGCCGTTAATTAACCGTACTTTCAGCTTGTACAATTATTATTTGTGGTTTAATTTTATTACACAGTTTAAACTCATTCTGAATAGGATTTTAGGGTTATTTTTTACATTGAAATTTCTCATGCACGCTTCCATGTGCACCTGTAGATATACACTCTCGCGTGATCCAATTAAATCTTCGCAAGAAGGAGTGAGTGAGTGAGTGAGTATGGTTTTACGCCGCTTTAAGCAATACTCCAGCAATATCACGGCGGGGGACACCAGAAATGGGCTTCACACATTGTGCTCATGTCGGGAATCGAACCCGGGTCTTCAGCGTGACGAGCGAACGCTTTAACCACTAGGCTACCCGACCGACCCTTCGCAAGAAGGAAGCGCCAGAAATGTACCACGTGACACGATTTTGTTGCTTCCTAATTGTCTGTTGGGCAGAAAAATCAAACTTTTTTCTTGCTATTATTTTGTTTCTGTGTCTTTATATGTAACTAAACAAATATCTTAGTGATTTACTTAGATGGAGACAAATTCGACCGCCTCCGTGGTCTTGAGCGTCCGCCCGGAGAGTGGAAGGTCCAGGGTTCGATCCCGGGCCGCGTCATACAAAAAGACGTTAAAAGATTGTACTTGTTGTTACCCTGTCTGGCGCTCGGCATTAAGGGGCTAAAACAAGGACTGGTCGGCTCGGGGTCAGTATACTGTGTCTGAGTGGGGTATTCATGTTAAACTGCGGCATGGTATCTCACTGAGCTAGCACTATAAATCTGCATCAGTCCGGACTAGTACAAGCAGCCACACACACACATACACGTGCATGCACGTCGCTATATAAGTGCAATAATCTTGGACGCGACGTCTGACAAAACAAAAAGTAACACACAAACACACATTCTGACAATATGTTTTAAAATTTACATATACATCTATCTTAACATATAGTACATGTATGTGCTTTTACATTTACATCACAACTGACATGTGTTTTTACATTTACATCTTGCTGAACATACAGTAAAACACTTACGTTCTGACAATATGACATGTGTTTTTTACATTTACATCTTGCTGAACATACAGTAAAACACTTACATTCTGACAACATGACATGTGTTTTTACATTAACATCTTGCTGAACATACAGTAAAACACTTACATTCTGACAACATGACATGTGTTTTTACATTTACATCTTGCTGAACATACAGTAAAACACTTACGTTCTGACAATATGACATGTGTTTTTACATTTACATCTTGCTGAACATACAGTAAAACACTTACGTTCTGACAATATGACATGTGCTTTTAAATTTACATCTTGCTGAAAATACAGTAATACACTTACATTCTGACAACATGACCTGTGTTTTTACATTTACATCTTGCTGAACATACAGTAAAACACTTACATTCTGACAATATGACATGTGTTTTTACATTAACATCTTGCTGGACATTCAGTAAAACACTTACATTCTGACAACATGACCTGTGTTTTTACATTTACATCTTGCTGAAAATACAGTTAAACACTTACATTCTGACAACATGACATGTGTTTTTACATTTACATCTTGCTGAACATACAGTAAAACACTTACGTTCTGACAATATGACATGTGTTTTTACATTTACATCTTGCTGAACATACAGTAAAACACTTACATTCCGACAATATGACATGTGTTTTTACATTTACATCTTGCTGGACATACAGTAAAACACTTACGTCCTGACAATATGACATGTGTTTTTACATTTACATCTTGCTGGACATACAGTAAAACACTTACGTTCTGACAATATGACATGTGTTGTTACGGCGATACCGCATTATCAGTGGTTCATATTGGGAAAGGGTCGTCACTCTAATTTCAAATGGGAGCTATCTCCGTTGTTTTCGTATTTGCAGGAAATGGCGTCACCCACGCTGTACGTTGTTGGTCCAGCTATGAAATGCCCAGCTTATCCCTAAGGTAAAACGTATTCTTAATTAAATGTTTGAATGTATTTTATATTTATGTTTCCATCCGTACATCTTCTAAGATTGGTTTAGTGCTGATAACCATTTTCTAAAATGTGGGCCCACATTTTTCCCGTCATCTATGGTGATCAAAACAAGTGGGCCCACATTTGTAAATCACTGTGTTTCATTGGGTTGACAAAGTCATTTATGCTAGTGGGCTCACATTTGTCATTACTTTGCTTGGGTACGTGACATTATATGTTATTCTTATTTTGTAATATTGATGGGACATATCTTCATAAATCATTTCGTGTGACGTTAATTCCACGAAAGGCACAAAAATCTTTGTAATTTGAGTAACGTCACCATAGCTGACCACACTAGTTTTACAAATTGTTACAAAGCAAGATTAAACCTAGATCTACTTCAAGTTAAATTTACAGAGGCAATACCTCTCATTCTACTTTTTCCAGTATAACACATCAATCTAATCATAAGTGTTGGTGGCGATATAAGCCTGAAAATATGTCTACACTTGAAGTGATCTCGGACATGATACAAGCCTCAAACGTTTCCGAGAACTTGTTCCATAAAAGGAATAACTCATGAATATGAATGACCCCACGACATAGTTTGGCGATGTTCGTAGAAGTGAGTTCTGCTGTATTGTCATCGCATTTGTACATTTTAATCCAATTATAAGTCATAATACTTATTTTAAATAGACAAAATAGCAGTTCATAATGCAGGTTTGTTTACGTAGTACATATTCTCAACAACAAGTGCGTTTAGTTTCAAATTCGGGCCCACCTCGAACTTTCGAATAGGCAAACTGAGTTAGCTCCCTTCTTGAACCACCGATAAAGCGGTTTCGCCGTTTTTACATTTACATCTTGCTCAACATACAGTAAAACACTTACATTCTGACAACATGACATGTGTTTTTACATTTACATCTATCTAAGCTTACGACCCGTGAAGGTCCGGTTTAGAAGAAATATTCAAAACCAACAACCCAGTATGGCCAGTAATCGGAACCTGTAAAGGTTCGGGTTAGAACAGGCCCTCAGCAACCCTTGTTTGCCGTAAAAGGCAACTATGCTTGTTGTAAAAGGCAACGTACAGGATCGGTTGGTCAGGGCTCGCTGACTTGGTTGATGCATGTCATTGTATCACAATTTTTTGGGATCGATGCTCATGTTATCAATAACTGGATTGCCTGGTCCAGACTCGGTTATTTATAGACCCGTGAAGATTCTGGGGTAGAATAGGTCTTCAGCAACCCATGCTTGCCGTAAAAGGTGACTATGCTTGTCATTAAAGGCGACTAACGGAGTCGGGTGGTCAAGCTAGCTGACTTGGTTGATGCATGTCATCGATCCCAAGTGCGTTGATCGATGCTCATGATATCAATCACTGGATTGTCTGGTTCAGACTCGATTACAGACCGCCGTCATATAGCTGGAATATTGCTGAGTGTGGCGTAAAACAACAAACCAACCAATCCTACAGACCGCTGTCATATAGCTAGAATATTGCTGGGTGCAGCGTTAAACAACAAACAAAGAAACAAAACAAACTATGTAAACATGTATACAGTAACACATTTACGTCAATCTGAATATACAGTAAAACAGTAACTTTCAATATGCGAAGTACTTTTATAATTGCGTAGACACACACTAATCTAAACATATAGTAACACACTTAAACAAAATATGACAAAACTATATGTGCTTTTACAGTTTCCAGTACATCCAACACACATGAAAACACTAATATTCTTACAACATGATAAGTGCTCCTATAATTACGTCTCTCATGCAGCACATATTTGACACACGGATCACAAAGCAAATGTTTGACAAACAGACGAACTACATGAATCGTGTGTTTGACAAATCGACGGATCACAATGCAGAAATGTTAGACAAATAGACAGATCACAATTTGCAAGTGTTTGACAAACAGATACCTAAAATGAAGCAAATGTTTGACAAATAGACACATAAAATTAATTAAATACTTGATATATAGACGGATCACATTAAGCAAATGTTTGACAAATAGACGGATCACATTAAGCAAATGTTTGACAAATAGACGGATCACATTAAGCAAATGTTTGACAAATAGACGGATGTTTGTCGGAACAGTCTTCATCATCCAGAATCCAGTCATCAAATTTCAGACAGTTTTGATTTCCCGATTTTGAAAAGCCTTTGACCGGTTCAGCATCCAACCAGAACCATTTGCTATTTTTATTCCTGTCACGCCCACCAAGGTATACGTCGATGTTTTTTTTGCCTATTATATCTGCAACATATAGTAAACCTCACATCAACACATCGCCGCTAAAGGTAAAAACCCCATCATATTGCTCATAGTCACTGTTTTTAGTTTAAGGTAAGGATTAGGCAGATGACCAAATTCACCAAAAAAGGATGCTTTTTATCAAGTTTGAAGATTTTCTCGGACTTATTTTTGGCGGGTCAAATCAAAAATAAAAACTTTTTTTTATTTAATTGAAAATGACGTTTGGATCAGGTTTGTGGTAAATATGTGCTTTTAGTTTGTTCAGGTAGGATGTAAATATCTCAGTGGCAACATGTACTTGTGAACTGCCAGGGCAAAGAAAGTACACACCTTTTTTTGATGGTGGCACAAATTACGAACCAAGAAATGGTTATTCGATGGTTATGTACATGTAATTATACTTATATATATTATATGGTGTCACCGCTATTTTCCCCTTTATACCCAATGGAATCTGTTTCGGCGTATAATCGAGACTGGTTAATCTTTGTCGAAGATGTTTTAGGTTTAAGTGAATGATTGAGGTTTTTTAAATCATTTTTGACTGTATTTCGGTTTAATTACGACGATCCAGCTTGGTAAGCTAACGCTGATGCTGTCACCAGTTTGGTGAAACCCATGAGCATGGGTGTTGTGCTGAGAATCCAAGAGACATAATGAGGGCGAGCCTGCGATTCCAACCCACAATCGTAGTTTCCTGACACGCCTAAGGGAGGCAACTCGGCACAGCGAATCACTGCGCCTTCCCCATTGTATTCGTGGAGTAGTGTAGGCGATGGGGGTACTGCATCATCCCACTCTAGACCAGGTCAAGGACCTGGCAATGCTTACAGTCATCACTTAATTAATAACAATGGATTTTCATCACTAAATGAATAAAATTAAGGACCCCCACTTAAGCAATAAAACAACATAAATAATCCTGAAAACACAAACAATAGTGAGTGAGTGAGTGAGTTGGGTTTAACGCCGTTTTTAACAGTATTCCAGTTATATAACGGCGTGTCAGCTTAATGTGGGAGGAAAGCCCCAAGTGATGCAGATCTCAGACGTTTACCACTTCAGTGAAACCCACGAGCACGGGTATGGTGCTAACAAACCTAGAAACATAATTGGGACGAACCGGGATTCGAACCCACAATCATAGGTTTCTGGCGTGCCCAAGGGACGCAACTCTGCACATCAATCGCGGCGCCTAAGACGACTGGGCCACCCGTGCCTCCCACAAACAATACTCTACTTGTTCTGTCAACGTTAATGTTACTACAAACATAAGATTATAACTGCTCATAACAGACAATGTACACTCTACTATTTGCTTTTACTTTGGTATGTTACTACCAATGTCCTACCATGAACAGTTTTCAAGAATTGTTCTTCAACAAAGATGTGTGCATAAACAGTGATGCATATGAATGTCATTAATGGATCACTGAATGAAATTTTCAAGAACGTTTAGAAATCTATCCAACACTTACCTCGAATGACACCCTCAAAAAATTTGTTCATAGCATCCGTCTTATATATGACAAGGTCCGCATCATGGCCCTTGCAGTGGTCTCTTGCGTCCTCCCAGTTTCGTTTCTTAGATTCATACTTGTAGCACATGTTATGCTCTTCCACCTTCGTGAAGCCTCCCGGGCATTTCACTGCAATACAGAGTGGGTCTATTTACCAGAGTGTGGTAGTACGTTTGTAAGACTTTTGTAGTGTGTGAGTTTGTATGACTTTGATTGGAAGTGTTTGCGTTTGTAAGACCGTGGTAGTGAGTGTGTGCGTTAAACACTTTGGTAGTATGTGCGTTTGTAACACTGTGTGGTAAGACCGTGGTAGTGAGTGTGTGCGTTTGTAACACTTTGGTAGTATGTGCGTTTGTAACACTGTGTGGTAGAGTGTACGTTTGTAAGACCGTGGTAGTGAGTGTGTGCGTATGCAACACTTTGGTATTATGCGCGTTTGTAACACTGTGTGGTAAGGTGTACGTTTGTAAGACCGTGGTAGTAAGTGTGTGCGTTTGTAACACTGTGTGGTAGAGTGTACGTTTGTAAGACCGTGGTAGTGAGTGTGTGCATATGCAACATCTTGGTAGTATGTGCGTTTGTAAGACTTTTGTAGTGTGTGAGTTTGTAAGACCGTGGTAGTGAGTGTGTGCATATGCAACACTTTGGTAGTATGTGCGTTTGTAAGACTTTTGTAGTGTGTGAGTTTGTAAGACCGTGGTAGTGAGTGTGTGCGTATGCAACACTTTTGTAGTATGTGCGTTTGTAACACTTTGGTAGTGTGTGAGTTTTTAAGACCGTGGTAGTGACTGTGTGCGTTTGTAACACTTTGGTAGTATGTGCGTTTGTAACACTGTGTGGTAGAGTGTACGTTTGTAAGACCGTGGTAGTGAGTGTGTGCGTTTGTAACACTTTGGTAGTGTTTGCGCTTGTAACACTGTGTGGTACAGTGCACGTAAGTTAGGCCGTGGTAGTGAGTGTGTGCGTTTGTAACACTTTGGTAGTATGTGCGTTTGTAAGATTTTTGTAGTGTGTGAGTTTTTAAGACCGTGGTAGTGAGTGTGTGCGTATGCAACACTTTGGTAGTATGTGCTTTTGTTACACTGTTTGGTAAGGTGGACGGTTGTAAGACCGTGGTAGTGAGTGTGTGCGTTTGTAACACTTTGGTAGTATGTGCGTTTATAACACTGTGTGGTAGAGTGTACGTTTATAAGACCGTGGTAGTGAGTGTGTGCGTATGCAACACTTTGGTAGTATGTGCGTTTGTAACACTGTGTGGTAAGGTGTACGTTTGTAAGACCGTGGTAGTGAGTGTGTGCGTATGCAACACTTTGGTAGTATGTGCGTTTGTAACACTGTGTGGTAAGGTGTACGTTTGTAAGACCGTGGTAGTGAGTGTGTGCGTATGCAACACTTTGGTAGTATGTGCGTTTGTAACACTGTGTGGTAAGGTGTACGTTTGTAAGACCGTGGTAGTGAGTGTGTGCGTATGCAACACTTTGGTAGTATGTGCGTTTGTAACACTGTGTGGTAGAGTGGACGTTTGTAAGACCGTGGTAGTGAGTGTGTGCGTATGCAACACTTTGGTAGTATGTGCGTTTGTAACACTGTGTGGTAGAGTGGACGTTTGTAAGACCGTGGTAGTGAGTGTGTGCGTATGCAACACTTTGGTAGTATGTGCGTTTGTAACACTGTGTGGTAAGGTGTACGTTTGTAAGACCGTGGTAGTGAGTGTGTGCATATGCAACACTTTGGTAGTATGTGCGTTTGTAAGACTTTTGTAGTGTGTGAGTTTGTAAGACCGTGGTAGTGAGTGTGTGCATATGCAACACTTTGGTAGTATGTGCGTTTGTAAGACTTTTGTAGTGTGTGAGTTTGTAAGACCGTGGTAGTGAGTGTGTGCGTATGCAACACTTTTGTAGTATGTGCGTTTGTAACACTTTGGTAGTGTGTGAGTTTTTAAGACATTGGTAGTGACTGTGTGCGTTTGTAACACTTTGGTAGTATGTGCGTTTGTAACACTGTGTGGTAGAGTGTACGTTTATAAGACCGTGGTAGTGAGTGTGTGCGTTTGTAACACTTTGGTAGTGTTTGCGCTTGTAACACTGTGTGGTACAGTGCACGTAAGTTAGGCCGTGTTAGTGAGTGTGTGCGTTTGTAACACTTTGGTAGTATGTGCGTTTGTAAGATTTTTGTAGTGTGTGAGTTTTTAAGACCGTGGTAGTGAGTGTGTGCGTATGCAACACTTTGGTAGTATGTGCGTTTGTAACACTGTGTGGTAAGGTGTACGTTTGTAAGACCGTGGTAGTGAGTGTGTGCGTATGCAACACTTTGGTAGTATGTGCGTTTGTAACACTGTGTGGTAGAGTGGACGTTTGTAAGACCGTAGTAGTGAGTGTGTGCGTATGCAACACTTTGGTAGTATGTGCGTTTGTAAGACTTTTGTAGTGTGTGAGTTTGTAAGACCGTGGTAGTGAGTGTGTGCGTATGCAACACTTTTGTAGTATGTGCGTTTGTAACACTTTGGTAGTGTGTGAGTTTTTAAGACATTGGTAGTGACTGTGTGCGTTTGTAACACTTTGGTAGTATGTGCGTTTGTAACACTGTGTGGTAGAGTGTACGTTTGTAAGACCGTGGTAGTGAGTGTGTGCGTTTGTAACACTTTGGTAGTGTTTGCGCTTGTAACACTGTGTGGTACAGTGCACGTAAGTTAGGCCGTGGTAGTGAGTGTGTGCGTTTGTAACACTTTGGTAGTATGTGCGTTTGTAAGATTTTTGTAGTGTGTGAGTTTTTAAGACCGTGGTAGTGAGTGTGTGCGTATGCAACACTTTGGTAGTATGTGCGTTTGTAACACTGTTTGGTAAGGTGGACGGTTGTAAGACCGTGGTAGTGAGTGTGTGCGTTTGTAACACTTTGGTAGTATGTGCGTTTATAACACTGTGTGGTAGAGTGTACGTTTATAAGACCGTGGTAGTGAGTGTGTGCGTATGCAACACTTTGGTAGTATGTGCGTTTGTAACACTGTGTGGTAAGGTGTACGTTTGTAAGACCGTGGTAGTGAGTGTGTGCGTATGCAACACTTTGGTAGTATGTGCGTTTGTAACACTGTGTGGTAAGGTGTACGTTTGTAAGACCGTGGTAGTGAGTGTGTGCGTATGCAACACTTTGGTAGTATGTGCGTTTGTAACACTGTGTGGTAAGGTGTACGTTTGTAAGACCGTGGTAGTGAGTGTGTGCGTATGCAACACTTTGGTAGTATGTGCGTTTGTAACACTGTGTGGTAGAGTGGACGTTTGTAAGACCGTGGTAGTGAGTGTGTGCGTATGCAACACTTTGGTAGTATGTGCGTTTGTAACACTGTGTGGTAGAGTGGACGTTTGTAAGACCGTGGTAGTGAGTGTGTGCGTATGCAACACTTTGGTAGTATGTGCGTTTGTAAGACTTTTGTAGTGTGTGAGTTTGTAAGACCGTGGTAGTGAGTGTGTGCATATGCAACACTTTGGTAGTATGTGCGTTTGTAAGACTTTTGTAGTGTGTGAGTTTGTAAGACCGTGGTAGTGAGTGTGTGCATATGCAACACTTTGGTAGTATGTGCGTTTGTAAGACTTTTGTAGTGTGTGAGTTTGTAAGACCTTGGTAGTGAGTGTGTGCGTATGCAACACTTTTGTAGTATGTGCGTTTGTAACACTTTGGTAGTGTGTGAGTTTTTAAGACATTGGTAGTGACTGTGTGCGTTTGTAACACTTTGGTAGTATGTGCGTTTGTAACACTGTGTGGTAGAGTGTACGTTTGTAAGACCGTGGTAGTGAGTGTGTGCGTTTGTAACACTTTGGTAGTGTTTGCGCTTGTAACACTGTGTGGTACAGTGCACGTAAGTTAGGCCGTGTTAGTGAGTGTGTGCGTTTGTAACACTTTGGTAGTATGTGCGTTTGTAAGATTTTTGTAGTGTGTGAGTTTTTAAGACCGTGGTAGTGAGTGTGTGCGTATGCAACACTTTGGTAGTATGTGCGTTTGTAACACTGTGTGGTAAGGTGTACGTTTGTAAGACCGTGGTAGTGAGTGTGTGCGTATGCAACACTTTGGTAGTATGTGCGTTTGTAACACTGTGTGGTAGAGTGGACGTTTGTAAGACCGTGGTAGTGAGTGTGTGCGTATGCAACACTTTGGTAGTATGTGCGTTTGTAACACTGTGTGGTAGAGTGGACGTTTGTAAGACCGTGGTAGTGAGTGTGTGCGTATGCAACACTTTGGTAGTATGTGCGTTTGTAACACTGTGTGGTAAGGTGTACGTTTGTAAGACCGTGGTAGTGAGTGTGTGCATATGCAACATCTTGGTAGTATGTGCGTTTGTAAGACTTTTGTAGTGTGTGAGTTTGTAAGACCGTGGTAGTGAGTGTGTGCATATGCAACACTTTGGTAGTATGTGCGTTTGTAAGACTTTTGTAGTGTGTGAGTTTGTAAGACCGTGGTAGTGAGTGTGTGCGTATGCAACACTTTTGTAGTATGTGCGTTTGTAACACTTTGGTAGTGTGTGAGTTTTTAAGACATTGGTAGTGACTGTGTGCGTTTGTAACACTTTGGTAGTATGTGCGTTTGTAACACTGTGTGGTAGAGTGTACGTTTGTAAGACCGTGGTAGTGAGTGTGTGCGTTTGTAACACTTTGGTAGTGTTTGCGCTTGTAACACTGTGTGGTACAGTGCACGTAAGTTAGGCCGTGGTAGTGAGTGTGTGCGTTTGTAACACTTTGGTAGTATGTGCGTTTGTAAGATTTTTGTAGTGTGTGAGTTTTTAAGACCGTGGTAGTGAGTGTGTGCGTATGCAACACTTTGGTAGTATGTGCGTTTGTAACACTGTTTGGTAAGGTGGACGGTTGTAAGACCGTGGTAGTGAGTGTGTGCGTTTGTAACACTTTGGTAGTATGTGCGTTTGTAACACTGTTTGGTAAGGTGTACGTTTGTAAGACCGTGGTAGTGAGTGTGTGCGTTTGCAACATATTGGTAGTATGTGCGTTTGTAACACTGTGTGGTAAGGTGTACGTTTGTAAGACCGTGGTAGTGAGTGTGTGCATATGCAACACTTTGGTAGTATGTGCGTTTGTAACACTGTGTGGTAAGGTGTACGTTTGTAAGACCGTGGTAGTGAGTGTGTGCGTATGCAACACTTTGGTAGTATGTGCGTTTGTAACACTGTGTGGTAAGGTGTACGTTTGTAAGACCGTGGTAGTGAGTGTGTGCGTTTGTAACACTTTGGTAGTATGTGCGTTTGTAACACTGTGTGGTAGAGTGTACGTTTGTAAGGCCGTGGTAGTGAGTGTTTGCGTATGCAACACTTTGGTAGTATGTGCGTTTATAACACTGTGTGGTAGAGTGTACGTTTATAAGACTGTGGTAGTGGGTGTGTGCGTATGCAACACTTTGGTAGTATGTGCGTTTGTAACACTGTGTGGTAAGGTGTACGTTTGTAAGACCGTGGTAGTGAGTGTGTGCGTATGCAACACTTTGGTAGTATGTGCGTTTGTAACACTGTGTGGTAAGGTGTACGTTTGTAAGGCCGTGGTAGTGAGTGTTTGCGTATGCAACACTTTGGTAGTATGTGCGTTTATAACACTGTGTGGTAGAGTGTACGTTTGTAAGACCGTGGTAGTGAGTGTGTGCGTATGCAACTCTTTGGTAGTATGTGCGTTTGTAACACTGTGTGGTAAGGTGTACGTTTGTAAGACCGTGGTAGTGAGTGTGTGCGTATGCAACACTTTGGTTGTATGTGCGTTTGTAACACTGTGTGGTAGAGTGGACGTTTGTAAGACCGTGGTAGTGAGTGTGTGCGTATGCAACACTTTGGTAGTATGTGCGTTTGTAACACTGTGTGGTAAGGTGTACGTTTGTAAGACCGTGGTAGTGAGTGTGTGCGTTTGTAAAACTTTGGTAGCGTGTGCGTTTGTATGACTTTGATTGGAAGTGTTTGCGTTTGTAACACTGTGGTAGCGTGAGAGTTTGTAAGACTTTGGTTGGTAGCGTGGGCGCTTTTAACACTGTGGTAGTGAAAGTGTGCCTTTGTAACACTGGCAGTGAGTGTGCCTTTGTAAGACTGTGGAAGGCAGGGTGTTTGTGTTCAACTCTATGGTAGTTTGTGTGCGTTTTTAACACTATGGTTGGAAGTGTGTGCGTTTTTAACACTGTGGTTGGGAGTGTGTGCGTTTTTCTAATGCTAGCAGTGTCTTGCAAACTTTAGCTGCGATAGATAGGGCGCAGGTAGTTGAAATGCGAGTCATTTTATTAAGTGAGTGAATGAGTGCGTTGGGTTTAACACCGCTTTGAACAGTATACTAGTATATCGAGGCGTGTAAGCCTAATGTGGGAGGAAAGCCCGAATTTATGCAGGTCTCAGGCGTTTACCTTTGAGACATAATCGGGGCTAACAGGGACTCACACCCATAATCATAGGTTTCAGGCGTGCCCAAGGGACGCAGCGAATTGCGGTGCCTTAGGCAACTGGACCATCCGTACTGAGTCAGACGCGCACGCACACACGCACACACGTACGCACGCACGCACCAACCCACCCACTCAACCACGCACACACGCACGCACGCACGCACGCACTCATAGAACGAGGTCCGATTCCTAACTGTAACAAATAATTTCACCAACGTACGTGGACAGTCGGCAGTATTGCAGTCGATTGTTTCTTCCCGGGTACTCCCTCCACTGCACTGGGCACCGCCATGTTGAGGGGCGGGGTTAGTACACGCCCGGATGTACTCTACTGTCTGTGACCCCCCTCCGCACGTTTTGGTACACTGCTGGCGGTCATCCTCCGTCCACGCCGACCAACCCCCGTCCACTGAAACGTTGACACAACGGTTATGTGTAAAACCTACAGAGCCAAATTGACCGAATGATAGAGTATTGGTGCTGAGAACGTGTTCGGGCACTGACCCTGAGTGAGTGAGTGAGTGAGTGAGTGAGTGAGTGAGTGAGTGGGTGGGTGGGTGGGTGGGCGGGCGGCCGGGCGGGTGGGTGGGTGGTTGGGTGTGTGTGTGTGCGTGTGTGTGTGTGTGTGTGTGTGTGTGTGTGTGTGTGTGTGTGTGTGTGTGTGTGTGTGAGAGAGAGAGTGAGTGGGTGGGGGGGTGGGGGGGTGAGTGAGTGAGCGAGTGAGCGGGTTGGTGGGTGGGTGATTGAGTTAGGGAGTGGGTGAGGTTTTACGCCGCTTTTAGCAATATTCCAGCAAAATCACGGTGGGGGACACCATAAATGGGCTTCACCCATTGTATCCACATCGAGAATCGGGTCTTCGGCGGGACAAGCGACGCTTTTACCACTAGGCTATTATGAGGATCACAACGGAGTATATGCTATATTCTCTTCCTGGTGTATATCACTTCTAAATGCCTTGAAAGTTTTAAAGACGGAAGAAGACAACAGTTCGGCACTTGAAGGTCCGGTGTAGAATAGGTCTTCAGCAACTCATGCTTGCCGTAACAGGCGACTCACGGGATCGGGTGATCAGGCTCGCTGACTAGGTTGATGCATGTCATCGTATCCAAAATTGCGTGGAACGATGCTCATGATGTGAATCACTGGATTGTCTGGTCGAGATTCGATTATTTTCAGACCGCCGTCACATGCAGACAATTTTTTATTCTGACAACATGTTTCCCCAGTATGTCGTTTGTTAATAACTCTTGCAGTCAAATTCATGTTTCAGTTTGCAATATTTCTGTAACACAATTGGGGCGGTCGGGTAGCCTGGTGGTTAAAGCGTTCGCTCGTCACGCCGAAGACCCGGGTTCGATTCCCGACATGAGTACAATGTGTGAAGCCCATTTCTGGTGTCCCCCGCCGTGATATTGCTGTTTTTTTGCTAAAAGCGGCGTAAAACCATACTCACTCACTCACTGTAACACAATTCACATCGCGTTGGTGTGTCGTTGATAAATGTTTATTTGCATATTCCAATCGGCGTCTGGTTCTCGGTAGGAAGTGACAACATCGAGCCGATGGCTTGCAGTATATACAGCTTTACTTTATAGGTAGATATATATATATACAATGTAAGCACCTAGTGTGAGTGAGTGGCTTGACGCCGCTTTTAACAGTTTTCCAGTTATATCACGGCGTGTCAGCTTAATGTGGGAGGGAAGCCCGAAGTGATGCAGGTCTTAGACGTTTACCACTTCGATGCACGGGTATGGTGCCGACAAACCTAGAAACATAATCGGGGCGATCCGGGATTCGAACCCACAATCAAAGGTTTCTGGCGTGCCCAAGGGACGCATCTCTGCACAGAAAATCGCGGCGCCTTAGACGACTGGGCCCCCCCCCCCCTGACCCCCCCCCCCCCCCCCCCCCCTCCCTTAAAGGCTAGGGTAATTAGCCTTTGTCCCAAATCAATTTGTAGGTTGCCCCAAATCAGTCGTTATGACACCCATTAAATAAAAGCGACAATACCCTTTCCTTAACCTTAAGAAATATCTTCTACGTGTTTACGATTTAGTCTGTATCATAAGTGTTTGTTTGTGAGTGTTTGTTTGTTTGTTGTTAAAGGCCGCACTCATCAATATTCCAGCTATATGACGGCGGTCTGCAGATAGCCGAGTCTGAACCAGACAATCCAGTGATAGACATCATGAGCATCAATCCACGTTATTGGGATACGATGACGTGTATCAACCAAGTCAGCGAGCGATCCCGTTAGTCGCCTCTTACGAAAAGCATTTTCGCCTTTAGAGGCGATTAACGAGATAGAGGGGTCAGGCTTCCTGACTTGGTTGATGCATATCATCGTATCCCAATTGTGTGGATCGATGTGAATCACTGGATTGTCCTGTCCAGACTCGTTTTTTTACAGACCGCCGTCATATAGCTGGAATATTGCTGACTGCGGCATTAAACAACAAAGAAACCTTTCTATTCAATTATTCATAAGTACCATAGACCTTTCACAAAATTATGACCTATTGACCACGGCTACCCTGGTATGACACAAAGACCTGTGATCCTACCTGGGCATGATCCATCGTTACAGTTTCCGGTCGTAGTTTTGGTTTCCTGTCCTGCGCATTGAGCTCCACCATTTGATGGGAGAGGGTTGTTGCACGCCCTTTCTTTGCTGATGGGCTGAGTTCCGTCCCCACAGGTCACTGAACAGCTCCCCCTACTGGTGACTTGCCAGTTGCTCCACCCGCCGTCAACTGTGAGTGAGTGAGTGAGTTAAGGGATAAGTCGCTTTTATCAGCTAAAACTGGCTCACGCAAGAGATACTGCTTTGCAGACCAGTGTGACGTCGTCGGTTACCGTGTCGTCACAATCGAATAACATTTCTTGGCTGGTCACCATTCGCCCCTTTCCGAACCCTGCAAGAGGACTCGTCCAACCATGGATGAATGTAATGTGCGAAAATACGAAAACCAATCAGAATGAATCACTTTAATTACTTTGGTCACAGAATCCCTCAGGAATGTTTTATTTTTATTTTGCGTAAGTCTTGCATCTTAAGATCGGAGCTCCAGATAAGCTGCGTATCTGCAGAAATACGCAGTAAAATAAAATCCAAGCGTATCAAATACGCAACGAACATTACAGATACGCTACAAAAATAAAACTTGTGTGTATCATCAAAATATTGTGAAGTAACATGGCGTATTCGATTAGCTAATCAGCAAGTTATTTTGAAATTATAAACGGGCATTCCGTCAACTTTGCCAAACTCCACGATGACAGTTGCATCATGATCATTTGCCATCACACTTTCATGTGGAAGTATCGTGGTATTTTTGAGTCCTATAAAGTTCTCGAACCCACACGACACCAGTTTGTAGGGACTAGATGAATAGTGTTTTTAAATATTTAACTTAAATACCAGTATGTGTAAAAACTAGTGGGTAACAGAAATTTGAATACCCAGATAGAATTACTGATATCCAATGATTTTAAAATGCATGGGTTAAATACCCACAACACCAAAAGCTTATCTGGAGCTCTGTAATATATACCCAAGATACTGTTAAATGTGATCAATGTGACTGAGTGTATAACACTGTAATCGATGGACCAGAAAAAACGAGTGACAGCTATTTGAGTTGGGGCGGTTAAATGAACCGAGTTCTATATTTTATGAAACTATATTTTATCGCCAGATTCATTTTGTAATCAAAAGAGCTTTAAATGGATATATGCTTCCAATGTAGTACACCATTTGAACTACACGTGTGTCATTGTTGCATCGCTGTTTATTATCCTCAGCAACCAGCGTTGGTCCTAAGAGGATGGATCGTTGCACATGATATCAGTCACTGGATTGTCTGGTCGTTTTGGTTAATTACAATCCGCCGTCACATAACGTTAAATAAAAGACAAGCATTACCTGGACAGACTTGTTCGTTGCACGCAATATCCTCCGTGGAGGTTCCATCCCCAGAACACGTGTCGCCGCCGTTTGCGGGGGCGGGGTCGGTGCATGTCCTCGCTGACGTAACGGTCTCAACCCCTCCCCCACAGGTCGCCGTACAAGCCGTCGTGGCACTGACCACCCATGGACTCCAGTTACCGTCCACTCGCACTGAAAAAGTGAACTGTTAATCAGCTTACAATGAGTGAGTTAGCTTTGGAGGTGGCCATCAAGCGACTATTTCACAAACGGTCTGGTGAGGTGAAATGGGGTTTAACGTCGCGTCCAAGATTATTGCACTTATATAGCGACGTGCATGTACTTGTGTGTGTTTGTGTGGCTGATTGTACTAGTCCGGACTGATGCCGATTTATAGTGCTAGCCCACTGAGATACCATGCCGCAGTTTAACATGAATACCCCATTCAGACACAGTATACTGACTCCGAGCCGACCAGTCCTTGTTTTAGCCCCTTAATGCCGAGCGCCAGACAGGGTAACAACAAGTACCATATTTTAACGTCGTTTGGTATGACGCGGCCGGGGCCGGGGATCGAACCCCGGACCTTCCGCGGAGGGACGCTCTACTACTAGACCACGGAGGCGGTCCACAAACGGTGTGAGTGTTGACATGGCAACATGAAATGTTTACTCTAATAATTGTTTGTTTTGCTGCTGAAAGTCAATTTCATTGGGACGAAATTAGGCCACGTGTTCCATTAGGTCCTCCAGGGTTAACATGTCTTGATGACGATCTTTTACTACGCCTTTCACCGCATTTCAGTCACATCACAAAGTGTTAATGTGGGAGGAAAGCCCAAAGCGATGCAGGTCTGATATTAATGATGGAGTGATTTCTACCTCAAAGGTGAAGGTGTGATTTGGTGAAGTGAAGACGCGAAGATGAGGTACTATCTACTAGTCGCATTTTCGTTACTTCGCCTCGCGGCTTCATCGCGTCCAGTCGGCGCATCGCATCCCCTCTGTGCATCGCATCCCTTCTATGCATCGCATCCCTTCTTTGCATCGCATCTTCGCGTCACCGCATCCCCTATTCGCATCCCTTCTTTGCTTCGCATCTTCGCATCACCACATCCCTTCTTCGCATCACCGCACCCCTTCTTCGCATCGCATCTTCGGATCACCGCATCCCTTCTTCGCATCGCATCTCCGTGTCACCGCATCTCTTCTTCGCATCGCATCTCACATCACGGCAACACTTCTTGGCATTGCTTCCCTTCTTCGCATCACGTCTTCGTGTCACCACATGCCCTCCTCCCATCCCTTCATCGCATCGCATCTTCGTGTCACCACATCCACTCTTCGCATCCCTTCATCGCCTCTCTCTTTATGTCATCACATGCCCTCTTCGCATCCCTTCATCGCATCGCATCTTCGTGTCACCACATCCCCTCTTTGCATCCCTTCTTCGCATCGCGTCTTCGTGTCATCACATCCCCTCTTCGCATCATTTCTTCGCATCGCATCTTCGTGTCACCACAACCCCACTTTGCATTCCTTCTTCGCATCGCATCTTCATGTCACCACATCCCCTCTTCGCATCATTTCTTCGCATCGCGTCTTCGTGTCACCACATGCCCTCTTCGCATCCCTTCATCGCATCGCGTCTTCGTGTCACCACATCCCCTCTTCGCATCCCTTCATCACATCGCGTCTTCGTGTCACCACATGCCCTCTTCGCATCCCTTCATCGCATCGCATCTTCGTGTCACCACATCCCCTCTTCGCATCCCTTCATCGCATCGCATCTTCGTGTCACCACATCCCCTCTTCGCATCCCTTCATCGCCCCTCTCTTTATGTCATCACATGCCCTCTTCGCATCCCTTCATCGCATTGCATCTTCGTGTCACCACATCCCCTCTTTGCATCCGTTCATCTCATCGCATCTTCGTGTCACCACATCCAATCTTCGCATCTCTCATCCCATCGCATCTTCGTGTCACCACATGCCCTCTTCGCATCCCTTCTTCGCATCGCATCTTCGTGTCACCACAACCCCTCTTCGCATCCCTTCTTCGCATCGCATCTTCATGTCACCACATCCCCTCTTTGCATCTCTCATCCAATCGCATCTTCGTGTCACCACATGCCCTCTTCGTATCCCTTCATCGCATCGCGTCTTTCGTGTCACCACATCCCCTCTTCGCATCCCTTCTTTGCATCGCATCTTTGTATCACCGGATCCCCTCTTCGCATCCCTTCTACGCATCGCGTCTTCATGTCACCACATCCCCTCTTTGCATCCCTTCATCGCATCGCATCTTCATGTCATCACATGCCCTCTTCGCATCTCTTCATTCATCGCATCTTCTTGTCACCGCACCCCCTCTTCGCATCAGCGCATCTCATCTTCGCCTCAAGACTTCGTTTCATCGCATTACTATAGAAATGTGCATACTGGTCTCTCAGAGTGCCAGCTTCCCCATGGTACAATTTTCCTCCATAACCTGGTGATGGATCGTTCATCTGTGTGACTCCTCAGGAGGACGTTTGTAGCAGTGAGTGAGTGAGTTTTGTCACAGCTTTTGACAGTATTCCAGTTATGTCACAGTGTGTCACCTTAATATGGGAGGGACGCCCAAACCGATGCAGGTGTCAGACGTTTACCACTTTGGTGAAACCCAAGAGCACGGGTATCGTCCTGAGAACCCTAGAAACATTATTGGGGCGAACCGGGACTCGAACCCACGATCATAGGTTTCTGGCGGGCCCATGGACGCAACTCTGCACAGCGAATTGCGGCGCCCTAGACGACTGGGCCACCCGGGCCCCTGTAAGAACAGAGAGGTACTTGCATATATTCTCTGTTTGCATCAGTTCGGATAATACAATAATGTTTTGTATTTATATTTTGATGAACAAATTGTGAAACGTTTATATAGGCATATTTCCCTGACTGGAATGCCATGGTTTACTTACTGGGATAATGCGGTTTACTCACTGTGTTATTGTGGTATACATACAGGATTACTGTGGTAAACTGACTGCGTTACTGTGGTTTACTTACTGGGATAACGTGGTATACATACAGGATTACTGTCGTATACTAACTGGGTTACTGTGGTTTACTTACTGGGATAACGTGTTATACATACAGGATTACTGTGGTATACTGACTGGGTTACTCAGGTATACTAACTGTGTTACTGTGGTATACTGACTGGGTTACTGTGGTTTACTTACTGGGATAACGTGTTATACGTACAGGATTACTGTGGTATACTTACTGGGTTACTGAGGTATACTAACTGGGTTACTGTGGTATACTAACTGGGTTACTGTGGTTTACTTACTGGGATAACGTGTTATACATACATGATTACTGTGGTATACTAACTGGGTTACTGTGGTTTACTTACTGAGATAACGTGTTATACATACAGGATTACTGTGGTATACTGATTGGGTTACTGTGGTTTACTTACTGGGATAACGTGTTATACATACAGGATTACTATGGCATACTGACTGGGTTACTGCGGTATAATAACTGGGTTAGTGTGGTTTACTTACTGGGATAACGTGTTATACATACAGGATTACTGTGGTATACTGACTGGGTTACTGTGGTATACTGACTGGGATAACGTGTTACACATACTGGATTACTGTGGTATACTGACTGGGTTAATGTGGTTTACTTACTGGGATAACGTGTTATACATACAGGATTACTGTGTATACTAACTGGGTTACTGTGGTTTACTTACTGGGATAACGTGTTATACATACAGGAAAACTGTGGTATACTGACTGGGTTAGTGTGGTTTACTTACTGGGATAACGTGTTATACATACAGGATAACTGTGGTATACTAACTGAGTTTCTGTGGTATACTAACTGGGTAACTGTGGTTTACTTACTGGGATAACGTGTTATACATACAGGATTACTGTGGTATACTGACTGGGATAACGTGTTATACATACAGGATAACTGTGGTATACTGACTGGGTTAGTGTGGTTTACTTACTGGGATAACGTGTTATACATACAGGATAACTGTGGTATACCAACTGAGTTTCTGTGGTATACTAACTGGGTTACTGTGGTTTACTTACTGGGATAACGTGTTATACATACAGGATTACTGTGGTATACTGACTGGGTTATTGTGGTATACTGACTGGGATAACGTGTTATACATACAGGATAACTGTGGTATACTGACTGGGTTACTGTAGTTTACTTACTGAGATAACGTGTTATACATACAGGATTACTGTGGTATACTGATTGGGCTACTGTGGTTTACTTACTGGGATAACGTGTTATACATACAGGATTACTGTGGTATGCTGACTGGGTTACTGCGGTATAATAACTGGGTTAGTGTGGTTTACTTACTGGGATAACGTGTTTTCCATACAGGATTACTGTGGTATACTGACTGGGTTTCTGTGGTGTACTTACTGGGATAACGTGTTATACATACAGGATTACTGTGGTATACTAACTGGGTTACTGTGGTTTACTTACTGGGATAACGTGTTATACATACAGGATAACTGTGGTATACTGACTGGGTTACTGTGGTTTACTTACTGGGATAACGTGTTATACATACAGGATAACTGTGGTATACCAACTGAGTTTCTGTGGTATACTAAATGGGTTCCTGTGGTTTACTTACTGGGATAACGTGTTATACATACAGGATTACTGTGGTATACTGACTGGGTTACTGTGGTTTACTTACTGGGATAACGTGTTATACATACAGGATTACTGTGGTATACTGACTGGGTTACTGTGGTATACTCACTGGGATAACGTGTTATACATACAGGATTACTGTGAATACTGACTGGGTTACTGTGGTGTACTTACTGGGATAACGTGTTATACATACAGGATTAGTGTGGTATACAGATTGGGTGACTGTGGTTTACTTACTGGGATAACGTGTTATACATACAGGATAACTGTGGTATACTGACTGGGTTACTGTGGTTTACTTACTGGGAAAACGTGTTATACATACAGGATAAGTGTGGTATACTGACTGGGTTACTGTGGTTTACTTACTGGGATAACGTGTTATACATACAGGATAACTGTGGTATACTGACTGGGTTAGTGTTGTTTACTTACTGGGATAACGTCTTATACATACAGGATAACTGTGGTATACTAACTGAGTTTCTG